TGGTCTGGGAAACATTCCTGAGGATGATCTAAAGACATGCCATCGCAATTTTGATCCTCTGCAGAGGGGAGGGCTCACCTGCTTATAGACAGATTTGGATATTCAATTAAATAACTTTGGTTGCCTTAGTTGAACTCAAAAAAAAAAAACTTGACCTTTAAAAAGAAGTTGATCAGAGTTCATTAGCTAAAATAAGTATAGGCTGAAAATGAAAACCATAAAATTTAAACAAGGTGCGTAGCGTTTTTAAAAAGTGCTTAAAGGTACTTATTTTTGATTTACGTTTTTTGAATGCCCTTAAAGGTGCTTTTTTTGTTTGGGATTTTAAAAAATTACTTGATTTTCTATCCTTTAAAAAGAGATTTTTTCTTTGCTTTATCTATCCTCATTATAAATTACAAAAAAAGGCATGATTTTCAAAATTTTCTCTGCNACTATGTAAAGTTTTTGCGTTTTATTGATTTTATGTTTATAAATTAAGAACTTTAAAGAATAGAAGGAAATAATTATTATTACTTCACAGGTCCAAATTATGATTTATTTTTGGAAGAAAGATTCAAAATATTTTTTCAGTGCTTGAAAAGTACATAAAAAGTTCCTATTTTTTGTTGAAAAATCTGGCTACGCACCCTGTTTTAAGTCAGTCAGTGAAATATTTCTCTAAAAATAATTTTTACAGCATCATTCCTATATCAAAAACAGCTTACTGAAGATCACTCACATATCTTATTACCAAATTCAGACAATAGTAATAATGATAAAAAAAATACAACGATTTTGTTTAAATGGCACGTTTTTTGCAACAATGTTTTCTAAATTATAAGAATTTCTCCAATAAATGTTATTTTGTTGTATCTGTACAATGAACTAATAAATATGCATATTTCCTTCTAGCAGCTACTTTACGAGAATGTTCAATAAGAGACTTTGAAGATTCTTACAGTGAGACATCTAACTGTATAGAAGATGATGGTCTCAATTATTTACCTAAAGGCTTTCAATCGTAAGTAACTATACAAAAAATCCCCCCCCCTCTATTTCATTACAATTTAAATAAAACAAATAATTATATAATTTCTTTAAATATAAATTAAAATATGTACAGTGCGCAAAATAAAAAACGGACCACCCTGATTAACTTTTGATCTAATGATCAGATCTTCATGTTCTAGGACACAATCTTAAAGGTGTAAGGGGAGGGGGTGATCTTAAATGTGCTAATTAATTAGTGCAGACAATATTTTAAGTTGTGGAATCAGACATTAAAACATACTTTCTCTGAATAAACATGCCCTTTTTTCAACAAATTTGGATTTCTGACTGCCAATATATAGGGGGTAGCTGCAATCTGGGAAATATGGTCCCCATAGTTAGGCTAGGAGAGCAGTCTAAAGTTTGAACCCTTTAATTTTAATTTGTTATGCGGATCATTAAAAAAAAATTGCATACAATTATAAAATTTGTTTATCCAAAAATAATTCCATGCAAAGTATAATTTTTAGTAGGTGTTTATTATTTTATTTAATAACAGCCCTAAAAGATTTGAATTGTAACGTATGAAATTTTTTACACCATTTTAAAGAATGTAATTTTTCTCTGTAAAATACAAAATGGGAGCAAAAATCAGTATAATAATTTGTGAAAAATCGAACTTTAAAGAAGCCATAGTTTTAAAATTCTATTTCTCTGGATCTATTGGACCAACTTTGCACAAATTTTGTGTATTTTGCCAAATATTACTTTCTTTAAAAAGATGTAAAAAGTTACATACTTACAAATCAAAATTTTTTTGACTATTGTTAAATAAAATAATAAATATTTATGAAAAGCTACTTTTTGCATGGGATTATTTTAGGATAAACGAATTATATAATCGCAAGCAAAAAGTAAAATTAACGTTAAAGGGTTCAAACTTTGCATCGCTCTCCTGACCAAACTATTGGAACCATATATTAGGGGTCAGAAATTGGATTCCTTTGAAAAAATAGCATAAGGAAGTAAGTTTTGTAACTTAAAATATCGTCTGCACTAATTAATTAGTGTATTGGAGGTCACCCCTTTGAACCATTAAGATTGAGACATAAAACTTGAAAATCCAATCATTAGATCAAAAGTTATTCAGAGTGGTCTGTTTTTTATTTTGATCACTGTACATAACTCATAACTACGTATATATATTTTTTATAGAATTTTAGAGGTGTGTACAAACTGTGTATTGAAAGAAGTTTTTACTATGTGCTATTATAAATTACAAACCTTGAAAGACATCGCTGTTAAAGCTCTTACGCCAATAGGAAAATGTTTGCTCAAGTTTGACGACACAAAGGGTAAGATATATTTTCAGTTAATTATCTTCTTGATTCTCCAAATCTTGAAGAGGACATTTAATTTTACCCTTCATTATTTGTATTATGTGTGCATGTTAGTGTTATGTGAATAAAAATTCAACTTTAGATGCAATAATAGACGAAGTCTTTTTATATATAGCCAGAAACTTTTAACAATTTTTAAAATATTAATGACTAAAAATTAACTTACAGAGTCTTTCTTAATGAACATTTTTTTCTTTGCTCATTTTAGAAAAGTGTATTTTGGAGATAACTCAAGGTGTAAGAAATAAGTGCATTTTATATCTTCATTCATTTGCTTTCTATATCAAAAAGGGAACTTTCATGCAGGCTGCTGAATCATCCAAGTAAGAAATATATTCAATCATGTTTGTTTATTTCTTATAAAATAAAAGAATAATTTACTATATATATTTTTTTTTCCAAAATTGTATAGAGAATTCTATAGCTGCATCAAACAAACAGTGAAAACCTGCCCCGGATATGCACACAATGATATCTTCAGACTCTACAAGAGATTTGCAGGGTTGCAAATCACGTCACAATATGAAGAAGGTAAAATATTGTTTTATAATTGAAGCGAAGAGTATCAACCCCAGGTAACTAAACACTCTAATTTTGCAGTGTTCAAATCATACCTTAAAACATTCAATAATAACAAGCTTAATTTTACCACTTATCTATATCTTAATGTTAGAGTACTTCTCTTAAGTTAAGCTAGCTTATTTATTGTAAAAATGAACATGTCTTTAGCCTTTCAGTAGAATGATAAGTTACATAGTAAGACTGATTTAAGTTTAGTTATCTAGGGATAAAAATATTGTTTTGACACTATTTCCCTCTAAAATACTTTTATTTCTATACTTTTTTTTTTAATAAAACTTATCGATACAACTTTTCACCAATTTGAGCAGCAGAATAAATTTTTAGGGAGCAATGAAATTATTTTGTCTGACATAAAAATTTTAAAGAAGGAAACAATGAAAAATGTCAACCGAAGTTGACGTCGTATGGGGGTTCCAGCGCCAGAAGTCATAAAAACACAAAACCTTTTCTATCGAGACAGCACGACAAATGTCTAAAAATTGCTTTCTCTGTACCCCCAAAGTATTTGTTAAAAGTCCAGGAAGAGAGAAAAGTTTTGTTACAAAACCTTTGTGGTACAGAGAGAGCAATTTTTAGACATTTGTCACGATGTCTCGATAGAAAAGGTTTTGTGTTTTTACGACTTCTAGAGCTGGAACCCCCTGACGATGTTAACTTCGGTTGACATTTTTATATTTTTCATTGTTTTCTTCTTCTTTACCCTTATATGTCTGGCTGGGTATATCAGATATAAAAATTGTACTTAACACCTGCTTCAAATCTTTAAATAAATTCTTCAATCTCAGAGAAGGTGATTTTTTTATTTCTTGTTAACCCCTTCCTTCTCGCTCCCGTGATATTGACGGGCTGGAGTGTTCAGTAGTAACGCGCCAATAAGAATAAAACTAATTCATTACTTTTGCTCGGAAAACATTTCATTTCTCATTTTACACACCTGTGGATATTTTTAAGGTAATTGTAGATAGTTTATTTTTAACTAGTTGCAGCACTAATTAAATATGTAATACAAATATAAAAGCCAAAAAAATAGGCATTTTTATGACCGTTTTCTTGAAAATTAACCGATTGTTAAGGGGTTAAGTCTAAAGTGACCACATTTTTATTGAGACAAAGCGGGACAAATGGGATGAAATGAGAATTACAATTTAGTCAAACTTTCAACACGCACAATCAGGGCCGGATTAACCTATAGGCACACTAGGCACGTGCCTAGGGCCTACGAAAAACTTGGGAGAAAAAAATTTGTTGACAAAAATAATTTAGCTTTAAAAACAACAAGTGTATTTTGCACAAAATTATGAAGATACAAATAAAAATATAATATTTTTCGGTAATAAATTATTTTGCAGAATCTTATGATCTAATATATTACTTTTTTTGCGATTTTTGGATTCAACGAAATCTTGTATTATGCTGTCGAATTCCAAACTACGCAAAATGTCGTATTCAATAGACATAAGTGCGAGCGATGCCAAACGATCTAGATTCATTGTTGAACGTAAATAATTTTTTATCAATTTTAATCCGGCGAAAGATCTTTCTCCTTCTGCATTTGATCCAAGAATCGACAAATATATTCTTAATGCAATGTGAACGTTAGGAAAAGTATTCACAAGTTTATCTTTAGTTTGAGCCTTCAACATTTCTTGTGCATATAAATTTGAAAATAGTAAAAATTCATCTACAAAGTTTTTCTCTAAATCGGATGAGTAAATTTTCACCAAATTTTGCGCTTTTAGTTTAATCTCAGATTCTGACAAATTTTTGTGTAATTTCCTTGTAATTCGGGTTCGATAAAACATCGATTAATGACGCTTTTTGGTCGATCCAGTAAACTGGGAAATTCAGACATCCGGGATAGCGATGATCCCGAGCATCCCAGATAATTGGTTCTCTACTGTGTAAATATTTCTTGTAATTAATCTCACGATCAATTTTACTGTTTTCTTTGCTGGTTTGTTGTTGTATTGTTGACGTGAAGTGTTTACATAGTTATCGATCGAACTAATCATAATCGTATTATCGATATCAACTGCAATATCGGCAGTATGTCGGTATTGCAGATAAAGTTCGATAAACAAATTTGTAAATTAAAATCCATATTAATAAAAATGTAAAAAAAAATATGCAAGAAAATTTTAGCATATATTTTGAAAAGAGGGGAGGACCCAAAAACGGCTATGCCTAGGGCCTACGAAAGGTATAATCCGGCTCTGTGCCTAGGGCCTACGAAAGGTATCTGCGCACAATATATGTATAAAAATACGAATAAATGTTTGCAATAATATTTTCAACATCAATTGGAAGTAAGTCATATGCTGTTTGAATTGTATATAGGTATAGAAGGTGAGCTGCACAACCTACTCCAATATTGTTTTGCTTCAAATGTTCGTTAAGTTTCGTAAAAACGTTATTGATGCCTCTTCTAGCTTTTCCACAAAAATTTACGTTAGTGTAATCCGCACAATAGGCAATAATTTTATTAAATACACAAGTGGGCGACCTTTGTGCTAAAATACAAACTAAGGTAAACAACGTTAAAGAGCACAAAAATATTATTAAAGGCAGTATAATATATTTATTTAATACATTTTTTAATAATATTTTTGTGCTCTTTAGCGTTGTTTACCTTAGTTTGTAATAATTTT